CGCTGCATTTATTACGTATTACAATTACCACGCGTTGTATTCCTGTGCATTGCATTTACTACACGCTGCAATTACCACCCGTTGCATTTACCACGTGTTGTATTGCTGTACATTGCATTTACCCCTCGTTGCATTTATCACGCGCCGCAATTACACGTTGTATTTACTACGAGTTACAATTACCACGCGTTGTATTCCTGTGCATTGCATTTACCACACGTTGCATTTACCACGCGCCGCAAATATACGTTGCATTTACCACGCATTGTATTCCTGTGCATTGCATTTCCTACGCGCTGCAATTACAACACGTCATAATCATCATCCACTGCATTCACTACGCGCTGTATTTACCTCGCATCGTAATGATCATCCGCTGCATTTACTACGCACAGCATTAACCAAGTATAGCTACTACTTAATCCTTAATTTTTCATCCATTGCAGTTACCGCGCTGTTTCTGTAACTTCATCTCTTACAACGATTGATTGATTGATTGATATTAATCATTGTCCCAATGTTACAAAGATAGTGTACCTCACTTTTACTTGTAACTTCATTTATTATATCTATCAAAATTTCAAATTTCTTTAAAGCGTGCAATGAAACTTTTCCTATTATATGTGCTATGCACGTCAAGCAAATTGAAAGTTGTAAAGAATGTTGACCCTACCGTTTTGCATGCCAACTTTCCGGAAACTACTTACAATATTTACTTTCTTGAAAGTTCATGTTAACACTTACTTAACACATACCTTAGTAGTATTAACTGTGTACTTTATATACATAATATAATTATCGTATTATTTATGTCTTTACATGTTTGTTAACACTTCATCTTTATTTTAAATAATAATTAAAATTTTTTTGGAAGACGGATATTTATCTGTGATAATATTGAAGAAAAAGAATATTATGTTAATTTTTATATAGTACAAATTTAACACTTACCATCTTAGTAAAATAATAGTTAGCAATTTAGTTATTGAATTATTGTAGTTTTGTTTAATTCTTTTTATAAAATATCTTGTGTACATGTCCCGGAAAAGTGTGAGTGTCACTTATGAAACAGTTATGTTATTCGATAATGAATTGAATTTTCATCGTTACTTTCGAGTCGTCAAAGGGTTAACAGCACGTAACAGCTGTTCGAGTATGTACACATTCATAATCATGGTGTTATCAAATGAACATATCAACTCTCTCGATGAATTTATCCGATCAGCGTCATTGATCATGTAATAATGGACATAAATAATGTACTTCCAATGACCGCATGCTTCCTCATCGTTCAACACGTGACCAATGTAAACATCACGTTATATGACTAATGAACAAGTTTATGCAATTGAATCAGTATCGCCATTCGGGTATCTCAAAAATTTCTTTTTCTCTCTCACCTTCTAAAAATTTGGTATATGGCATAAAAAAATCTTGTTAAGGTTTGAGCTGCAAAATTTAAATTTAAGAGGGTTCAAAGCAATTTTCTATTGGTATATTGATTTTTTATCGTATCGACTTTTAACTGTAATTTAAGCGATTACAGATGTTACGATAAAATTGTACAAAATTAGATGTTGGTATTAAGTCTCACAGTAATGTCAATCAGCTGATTTAACCATATTTATATAGTTGAGAAATCGATAAATAGTAAGGTGAATTAATTAAAGTGTTTGAAAATTATGAACTTATTCGACGATTCTTCAAAGTTTTGATATTACTTGCTGCGAAATTTTCATTCATTGTCTACGAAAGATCTTAATGACTTTGTGAGAAAAAGGTCATTAATTTTATTTGAACAATTGGAAATCCTACATGATTTCCTCGATTTGCTTTCTGATTTATGGATTTTAAACGAAAGTTAGAAGAATTGTGAAGAAATATTGAAAAGTTTGCAAGTTGTTGATAGGGCAGAGTAGCATTGATAGAAGATTTTAATAAATGTTTTAACTAAAAAGTAACAGCTGCAATATTTATTACAAGTAGTGCAATACTAAAACGAATATCCATAATATAATAAAAGTTATTTTGCTGAAAAAACTGTAGGACTTAAATTAAGTACACGAAAATACATTTAAATTACAAATTCGACAAAATACCTACAACTGGTTAATATAAAGAGTTATTGATAAATAAATAGTATTAAATAAATCAAAAAATTGTTACAAAATTGTATTTTTAATTTTATTTTGTAAACTTTTAAATTGCTTTAAGGGGCCTCCTAAATTTAAATTTTGTACGCTCAAGCTTTGTTAAAATTTCTTTACACAATTATCTTTTTAGAAACAGAATGAAAAAAAATTTTTTCTATCACCTAATCTTCATTCTAATCGAGGAATGTCGGAGGAGATTTTTTTCGACACCGTGTGAACCTTATCATCACACATAGTTCGTGACTTACGATAGTGATTCGAAGGGTTTAATTTATAGATAGCGGTGCACTCGGATGACAAAATTCCTGTGTAAGTTGATTCGTGTTGGTATTGTAATCAAACAGTGGTCTTCCATTCGTTGAATCCATTTTATTTTACGTGTTGATAAATTAAATTGAGTTTGTACAACAAATTGAAAACGTCCGGGAGCAATAAAAATATAAAATTTCTTTTTCTCTCTCACCTTCTAAAAATTTGGTATATAGCATAAAAAAATCTTGTTAAGGTTTGAGCTGCAAAATTTAAATTTAAGAGGGTTCAAAGCAATTTTCTATTGGTATATTGATTTTTTATCGTATCGACTTTTAACTGTAATTTAAGCGATTACAGATGTTACGATAAAATTGTACAAAATTAGATGTTGGTATTAAGTCTCACAGTAATGTCAATCAGCTGATTTAACCATATTTATATAGTTGAGAAATCGATAAATAGTAAGGTGAATTAATTAAAGTGTTTGAAAATTATGAACTTATTCGACGATTCTTCAAAGTTTTGATATTACTTGCTGCGAAATTTTCATTCATTGTCTACGAAAGATCTTAATGACTTTGTGAGAAAAAGGTCATTAATTTTATTTGAACAATTGGAAATCCTACATGATTTCCTCGATTTGCTTTCTGATTTATGGATTTTAAATGAAAGTTAGAAGAATTGTGAAGAAATATTGAAAAGTTTGCAAGTTGTTGATAGGGCAGAGTAGCATTGATAGAAGATTTTAATAAATGTTTTAACTAAAAAGTAACAGCTGCAATATTTATTACAAGTAGTGCAATACTAAAAAGAATATCCATAATATAATAAAAGTTATTTTGCTGAAAAAACTGTAGGACTTAAATTAAGTACACGAAAATACATTTAAATTACAAATTCGACAAAATACCTACAACTGGTTAATATAAAGAGTTATTGATAAATAAATAGTATTAAATAAATCAAAAAATTGTTACAAAATTGTATTTTTAATTTTATTTTGTAAACTTTTAAATTGCTTTAAGGGGCCTCCTAAATTTAAATTTTGTACGCTCAAGCTTTGTTAAAATTTCTTTACACAATTATCTTTTTAGAAACAGAATGAAAAAAAATTTTTTCTATCACCTAATCTTCATTCTAATCGAGGAATGTCGGAGGAGATTTTTTTCGACACCGTGTGAACCTTATCATCACACATAGTTCGTGACTTACGATAGTGATTCGAAGGGTTTAATTTATAGATAGCGGTGCACTCGGATGACAAAATTCCTGTGTAAGTTGATTCGTGTTGGTATTGTAATCAAACAGTGGTCTTCCATTCGTTGAATCCATTTTATTTTACGTGTTGATAAATTAAATTGAGTTTGTACAACAAATTGAAAACGTCCGGGAGCAATAAAAATATGAATGTACTAATCATTTAGATAGATGGTTATCTTTCTATTCTTTATCTTTTCTGGATTTGAAAATGCCCCGGGATAAAGGATTGCTTTCTTATTTACACGCTAAATATTTCCACTTCTACGTTAACGTTTTACTTCCTGGTCATGTTTAATTATACTCTTTATTTTGTCAAATGTTTAATGACCCTCGCACTCAATTTTTACTGTTGATAAATAACAACTCTACAACCCAGTATACAATTTTAAGTCTTTTGAAATTATTATTAATTCTTTAGTACTAATTTGTTTATTATTTCTCCATTACTAACGTCTTTTCGACTATGTTTATACATCATATAACACCATAGATTTAACTCAAAAATACCTAATAATAAACTAAACAATGAACTTGTATTTCGTGTGCAAAAAATTAAACTTCATAAAAATAAAATAATTGGCAATAAACCGACATTTATCTAGATTTGGTCAGTTGTCTTAATTGCTTGTCAAAAATGTGTTTAAACCTAAAAACAGGTCTTCAGAGTCTCACATGGATGTACTCTGTTCAATTATAAGAATGACCGATCAGCAATGTCTTATATCACAGAAACAACTCTTCAGAATTTTCTGAAGTCATAATGGCTGTCATAAAAATAGTTGATGAACAATGTGCTAAAGTCCAAAATCAATTCCTGGGAATTTCCTTGTATCTCACAGAGATGTACCTCTGTTCAGTTATAAAAATGTCTGATCAACACTGTGTTAAATCTTCAGAATTTCCTCGTGTATCACATAGACATACATTTATTCAATTCCGAAAATGATTGATCAGTATATTGAATTACAAACGCAAATCTTCAGAATTCCCTCCTGTCTTACATGGATGTACCTCTGTTCAATTATAAAAATGGCCAATCAATGTGTTAAATCATAGAAACAAATCCTCAGAATTTCCTCGTGTCTCACATAGATATACATCTCTTTAGTTCAGAAAATGATCGATCAGTATTAAATTACAAAAGCAAATCTTCAGAATTTGCGAGAATCCTGTCTCGCGTGTTATTAAAATAGCAGACGTAATACGTTAAAACCCAGAAGCATCTCTCTAGAATTTCCTCGTGCCCCACACAAATGCCTCCGTTCATTTATAAAAATAACCGATCATCCTCTCAAAACGCAGAAGCATCTCACATGGACGTAATTGTGTTTGCAGCTCCACCCGGCGAGGAGGATGAAGAAGAAGGATTGCGAAACGGGTTCGTGAAGGGTCAAGAAAATGACAGCGGGACACACAGTTTCAGTCGAAATGGACAGGGTGGTTACAAGGGTCATAGAAGCGGGCTCGACGATACCGGAACACGATCGCACAAGGACGACTCGTCCGGATCACCGTTGCAACCGAAGATCATCTTCAACGAGGACGAATATACGAGGATCACGACTCCTCGACAGGATATGCTATTCAAGAAGGGCTACCTGTCGAAGAAGAAACCATGGGCTGGTAACGCAAACACCAGCGCTACTTCGTCGACCACCGAGAGCCAATCCGCGTCTCATTCCACCGCAGGTAGAGGTATAGGTAGAAACGTGATGAAAATTTCATCGAATTTCTCACTATTTATCGTCCACGTGCCTTCGTCCGTCCGTGTGTGCCCCGATTGATGGCATCTCGTACCCTGGCAGCTTGGAGTTCCTCTCAACAATGTATGTGCGATAGTCGCTCTGTTTGCGTCGTTGACAGCAGACTTTAGATGTAACTTTGATGGGAACTGTATTTGGTAACGTTAAAGTAAACGTTGCTGTACTGTAGACAACCCAGGAGTTGGCGCATAGGAGGTTAGCCTAGTACTATGGAAGTCCATAGGAGGCTGGCTGTACTATGGAAGTCCACAGCCCTCATCGGTAGGAATAGAAAAATGGACACGTAGACTCGCACGTATTTTCGATGGTACAAACTCGATCGGTCAAAAACAAGAATTGAACCAAAGAACAAGGACAGTCGAATAAGAATTCGTAACATTACTAATGGTTATCTTGAACGTCATAGTGGGACTTGTTCTAGGGGGTAGGCGGTGCGAGTGGCTTCTTTTACTTTGGCTGTTCGGCTAGCTATGGTAGGGAGGCTAGGAAAAGTAAAGGAAAGGGAGAACATTTCGTCCGGGGCCTGCTAGTGGACTCATCAGTAAGGCGTTCTAGCAGGCCCTTGCCTTAGACGCGGGGATGTAAGGAAGGGATGGACAGGAACTATATATGTATATGAATAGGAAGGCTCTTGGAGTACTAGCGAGAAAGTCTAGGTCTCGATTCTATGTGCCGTCTAGTGGCGATGAGCGTGGGAGTAAAACCGCCACATTTACTTTGAGTTAACCTACGGGCTAATTCTGCGTTGTCTACCGTATGTGGATGTACTGTAGACAACCCAGGAGTTAGCGCATAGGAGGTTGGCCCAGTAGTGAGGCTGTACTATGAAAACCCTCATCGGTCAGAATAGACACCTAGACTCGCACGTACTTTCGATGGTACAAACTCGATCAATCAAAAACAAGAATTGAATCAAAGAACAAGGACAATCGGATAAGAATTCGTAACATTACTAGTGGTTATCTTGAACGTCATAGTGGTGAAGACGGTGCAAGTGGCTTCTTTTGCTTTGGGTCAACTTACGGGCTAATTCTGGTTTGTTTACTGTATGTGATTGTACTGTAGACAATCCAGAAGTTGGGGCGTAGGAGGCTGACCCACGTTTGGGAAGAGTCACAGCCCCAATTGGTCAGAGTAGATAAATAGAGACCTAAATTCATATATTGACTCGAGCTGTTGCGCACAGTTAGGTCAAAAACAGTCGACAAATGTATATGAATATCGAGAGTGAGTAAAATAGTGTGAATTGCGTGATGTACTTGTCACTGTTATTATTCTTGTTTGCTGAAATGTCATATTGCAAGCGGTGGAGATAGGCGGACTGAGTGAGTTTTTTCTCTGTCTTCTATGCGCCAGCTTTTGGGATGCCTACAGTATATGTATTCATCTTAGGATGCAAGAATTACTTTAGATATTAGAAGATTTGTGAATTTTGGAATTTGCATCTGTTGAAGTTTTAGAAGATGGAAATTTGAGAATTTTGGAAATTCGAAAAGTTGGAAGTTTCGAGATTTGGGAAACTATTTAAGTTTGAGAAATTGAAATATATGAATTTGGGAATTTTTTTATTTAGAAGTTCTGAACTTAGAAAATTTGAAAGTTTAGACTCTTTGAATTTTAGAAATTACGAATTGAAGAATTTTTACATTTGAAAGCACTTTAAAAGTTACAAAATTTTGAGCTTAAATTTCTTAAAAATAGGGAATATTATAAGAGAAAAGCTTTAAGGAATTATAAGGAAAAATAGAGTATTTGGAAATTTGGAAGCTTTTACATTTAGGAACTTCAAATTCTGAGAATTTTTTAATTTTGAAGTTCGTAAATTAGTAAATTTAGGTATTTCGGAGAAATGGGTATTTTCAAATTTGAGAAATTTAAAAAATTTAAGAAATTAAAAAATTGTGAATTTAGAACATTCTAAAACTTGGATTATTTAAATTCATGAATTTTATAACTTATGTTTTAAAATTAAAAACACTTGAAACTTAAAATTTTTTAATTGAAAAATTTAAACACTCAGATAATTTAAAAATATGAAAATTTGGAATTTTATGTTTTTGAAAAGTAGGGAATCTGGAAATTTAGGACAGTGGAAAATTTGAAAATGTTAAACCTTCAGAAATTAGAAAATTGACAAAAGATACGAGGAAAACTTCAGTTTTTCAGATTTAGCAATTTGTGTTCTTCAAAATATTGAAATTTGATAACTAAAAAATCTAAAAATTTGAAAACTTGAAAATATCCAAATTTTGTAATGTGAGAATATCAAAACTCAGTAACTTGAAAATATGAAAGTTTGAGTATTTAAAAATTGTTCACTTCAAAGTATAAAACTTAAAAATATCAGAATTTGTGAATTAAAAAATTCCAAAATTTCCAAACGAAAAAATTCAACAATTACCCATAACTGTTACAAAGTAACATCTGGCAAGGTATTCGATTATCTAATTGGTCCACGTAGTTACTCGGCAAAAGTAGCGGTTCCACTGTCACATCTAATCACCGACACTCCTAAATCTAAACTTACTTGGCTTCGATGCATTGTAAATGTCGTTGTACTCGAGCTGTGTATACTTGTGTTCTTGGCATAACTTAACCCAATTTGTCGTTTCAGATGGCAGCGAAACGACGGAGGATCAACAGCTGTTGGACAGAGACTACAGCACCGGTAAATACCCGCCGATGATGAAACCTGAGGCGCAGTTAGGCTATGGAACATTTTATGACCACGCTAGTGGTTACTATTACGAGTACCCTGTAATGTTGGTTGGTCCTGCGCCAGTTCCTGCACAGGTTGCACCCAGTGTCCTCACGGCTGTTCCCTGTGCACCAGTGCCACTGAGGCCGATCGAGTGGATCAATCCTATTTTTGTGCCTAAACTGAACGGGCAACCTTACTATATGATGGATTATGAGGTATCAATGCTTCAAATCACCTTTAGGTGTTTTCAAACTTTTGTGGCAAGTTTTGTGTTCACATTGTATTTCTTCAAAATGTGAAGTATCAGCTCCAAGATAGGTGTTTCAATTCTTTATGAGAAATTTTATGTTTAAACTTTACTTATTCATAATTTGAGTAGGTTACATTATGTACAATTTTGCTCATTCTCAGTGTAGGCGTTTTATCTGTTTTTCAAAGATTTTATAATCAATATTTATTCAAAATTTTGCTAACTTACAGTAGGACCAATATTCTTCAGTTTCAAGATAGGTGTTTCACCTCTTTATGAGAAATTTTATGTTTAAACTTTACTTATTCATAATTTGGTTGGGTTACATTATGTTCAATTTTGCTCATTCTCAGTGTAGGCGTTTTATCTGTTTGTCAAACATTTTATAATCAATATTTATTCAAAATTTTGCTAACTTACAGTAGGATCAATATTCTTCAGTTTCAAGATAGGTGTTTCAACTCTTTATGAGAAATTTTATGTTTAAACTTTACTTATTCATAATTTGAGTAGGTTACAATTATGTTCAATTTTGCTCATTCTCAGTATAGGCGTTTTATCTGTTTGTCAAAGATTTTATAATCAATATTTATTCAAAATTTTGCTAACTTACAGTAGGACCAATATCAGTTTCAAGATAGGTGTTTTAACTGTTTGTCAAAAATTTTGTATTCAAGCTTTAATTATTTAAAATTTGGTTGACTTACATTTGGTTCAGCGTTGCTGATTTTATGAATTAATTATTAATCATTTTAGAACATTATCTATCAATTTGAAGACCTAAAAATGAAATCTGCACATTTGATCCTACATACTTAAATCACTACTGCTATTTACTTCAACAATATCTTAACAATATTGTAGGTGCATTAAAGTATCGTTAACTCATACTGTCAAAATTTATCAACAAGATTGTCAGCAGTCACACCTCTAATAAGTGCTCTAAACGCCAAAGCGTCAGTCGAACTGTATTTGAAGTTCCAAATACCCATTAAAGTTGTCAGAACCAAATAGCTCAAAATTAAGAGCGTCCTAAATACCTATAGATCACAAAACTGTCACAATATAGTTTTCCAATCTATCAAAGTAGCGTGACATCATAATTGTCTGAAAATAAACGTGGGCATGTTGATTGTAGGCCAACCAATGCGCGGAGACAGCGGTGGTGTCAGAAGAGCAAGAGAGCACGGTGCTACCAGTGGAGACCTCCAACGGAGTTTATAACGAGAGCTGTACCGGAAGTGTCAGTTGCAATGGCAGCGTCGTTGGTGAGACTGAAGAGCAGACAACGGATGCAAACGCATTGGAGGATGAACAACCGGTTGACGAGCAAAATGAGGAGCAGTTGGAGGAAACTCACGCGAACGAGCAACACGTGGAAGAACAACAACTGGAGAATGGATTGAACGATGGCCCATATATGGAGCCGTTGTTGATGCAACAACCGGTCTACGTTTCTCATATGACGCTTCCTCAACCGTACATGTATCCCGGCCACTACATGTTCGGCCCTCCTTTGATCAACGTGAATGGTTAGTTGATTAGATTAAAGGTGGCTCGACCTTTATCTCTGTCCGATGCCAGTGGATTCTCGAAAGTTATATATCTTTGCTCCCTTGCTATCTCGCATGATTCTAGAGGCCTATCTCTCGTAGCTTGCGTTCTGTTCACGGACAGATGGACGGAACAACGGACGATCACAAGCGAAGGTTGTTTTCTTGTGGCTAAGAGAATCTACGCACTTCGGGGAGGGAACGATGCATCGATACCGTTGCGCTTTTGTTTATATGTAATACTTCTATACATGGTTCTTGTGACGTATTACCTGATAGAACATTTTTGTTTCTTACAAGTAAACCTACCCAAGTGTCACTCTCCGATTTTGATGAAATTTGGATATGTTATAGTACATTGAAAATTAGGGGACACGTATTTTTTTTTATCTGCGGTAAAACATATTTAGGGTATGAAACAACCCCCCAAAGTGTGAGGGTAAAATGGAAAAATTGTGATATTTTCGAGATCAGTGAAGCAATCTTGATGATTTTTGGTATGAAAGTATCTTTCGATAGAAGACAAAAATTGGCCTAGGTATGTTAGAAGGGGAGTGAAAATTAGGGGGTGAAATACCCTAAAGCGACCAATTTTTTGCTGCAAAAAAATCAGTTTTGATCTGATCGAAATAAAATCTATTAAAACTTGAAGAGGAAAGTTAAGTAGGGAACACGTATTTTTTTTCTTTTTTATTACATAAATATTTGGGACGTAAATAACTCCTAAATTACCGCGCTCGTTTGCATTGTTCAAACAATTTTGTTATAAACAATATATTTACAATATGTTCTTAACACGCTTGATGCACCTTACATACCTAACAATGAATGTCAGAAATTGTATTATATTTTGAAAATCGCATGTCACAAATACAGTCCATGTAAGTAGGTTTTCGAGTTTTCGTCCGCCATAATGGATCCGTTATATTGAATTTTGATTTCAGATTTCCATTCAGTAACGTAAAAAACCGATATATTAAAAAGATCGAACAGTTAGGAGATACAGTTTTGCAAGGCGTTTCATGCGTAGTGCCAAACGAGCGCGGTAATTTAGGAGTTATTTACGTCCCAAATATTTATGTAATAAAAAAGAAAAAAAATACGTGTTCCCTAATTAACTTTCCTCTTCAAGTTTTAATAGATTTTATTTCGATCAGATCAAAACTGATTTTTTTGCAGCAAAAAATTGGTCGCTTTAGGGTATTTCACCCCCTAATTTTCACTCCCCTTCTAACATACCTAGGCCAATTTTTGTCTTCTATCGAAAGATACTTTCATACCAAAAATCATCAAGATTGCTTCACTGATCTCGAAAATATCACAATTTTTCCATTTTACCCTCACACTTTGGGGGGTTGTTTCATACCCTAAATATGTTTTACCGCAGATAAAAAAAAATACGTGTCCCCTAATTTTCAATGTACTATAACATATCCAAATTTCATCAAAATCGGAGAGTGACACTTGGGTAGGTTTACTTGTTAGAGGCTTGGAAGGTTTGGTGGTGGATGTTATGGGAATTTTCATGAGGGCTTGAGGAGGAATTTTGGTGGTGTTGCATGTAACATTTTAAATGTCCAAATTCTTAAATTCCAGACTAATCAAATTACGAAGTTTCTAAATTTTTAAATATGACAATGCTGCAAATTTTCAAATTTGAAATTTCTGCGTTTTCAAATCGCTGAAGTACCAGATTCCTAAATTTGAAAATTTGAAATGTCCGCGCATCTGTATGCGCAGTAAAGGATGCGCAGTACCAGCGCATGAATCTTACGATTATATTGTACCAAAAATTGAACTGTTTTTTGGAGTATTTTTCAAGCATAAAAACAACAAACGATGCATTGTATGCTGCATTCGAATACTCCTTCCCCGCACTGCGATAGTTAAAACGTTAGTACGTTTGATTGTACCTGTTTCTAATGTTAAAACGAGAACAGTGTCGGTTGGATGCGCGGCCAGGAGAAAGGGATATAGCCAGATTCATGACTGCTGTCCCGTCCATCGGCATCATTGCTGTTTTATTACCGCCGTGCCTCTACCACATTCAAGGTAAAAGGTAATAATTCGCAAAGAGAGTTGCTTCTCTTTAGATACGATCGCAGAAAAACCTGGAGGTTATTGTTGATACTGTCTTTTTAATTTGATAGTACTATAAGTAGGGCATTTTAGCGCTCTACTTTTGTGGATCATCACGGATTATTATGTTCTGGATTATATTAAATTGATAGATACCTATATAGACTATATTAGGTTACTAGATTGTGAAACAATTTGATGAAACAATACCATGCAGTAATATTTGTGATATATTCACTTGAAGTTTGATTTGCTGAAAATACATATATCCTTCATCTGAACTGACTAGTTATCACAAAATGATCTCATAGAGTGTACAATACATATATCAAATTGTTTCATACTTTTCTTCTTACCAGACCACAAATATTCAACATGCAACAACTGAATACAATAATCATTTAATGAGGCACAATTTCTGTTTCATATTCTTTAAAATGAATAAAAATTAAACTCTGTCATATAATGTTATAGATCAAGGGCTCATGTATAATATACAAGGAATATGCATGTTCCAATGTTATATTATTTAACAAAAATAAGAAATGGCATGTGATAGACAAATTTAAGATAGTTATATTGACACTGTCAAAGTCAGAAATTGGAATATTAGTAAATATGACAAACAACTTAATGTCAGTAAAAGATTTTAATTGTAAGCAACATAATTTTTAATATTGTGTGATACAAAATAGGTAAAATAAGTACACTGAAAATAAGTACTTCTCATATTAATTATTAGGTACAATCTATTAATGAAGAATGCGCTTCTAATGGCAATGCTATACTTCTCAAGTTGTACCATGAATCATCTTCATTATTTCTGAAACTGGTCATATAATATGCTTCTATAATTAAAGAGTAGAAATAAAGTTATAAGTATCAGCAAAGAAAATAAATTTTTGTTTACTTATCAGCAGCAATATATCAAAACTAGTTAATTATAAAAACTGTGAATAACTGCAGTATAAAAGTTCAAAATAACGTTTTCAAATTATAATAAAAAATGTATCTTTAACAAATACTTTTACTATGCTATGTTAAATGTACTTAATTTTAAATGCAAATTTTTTTGCGACTTAAGTGCACTGAGTCATTCTGAAATTTCATAAATATTCATTAATGTTATTGTTATATGTTATTATTTTAATAGTATATACTATTTACATCCAGATAAAAACAAAGATTTTATAATAGTGTGTTTGTAATTTAACTATCTTAAATGTTGTTAGAGTCAAAATGTGCCTACAATGTATAACAGTGTTCAGTAAACGCGTTTCAACGTTAGAAAATGTCCATGAGGACATCAATCATTGGCCAAGGGACGTTTCGCCACCGAAAGCCATACAACAAATAAAAATAGACTGGGGAAAGCCTCCGTTGTGCTGAGCTTGGACAGCATTGCTTCGCTTTGCGTCACCCGCCACGAAAATAGTTGACTCGTACCACTGCGTGTTCCCGGGTTGATCCGGCGATCGTACCTGAAGTCAACAACACTCTACCCCACGCTCTGTGTATGTGTGTGACTTTCTCTGCATACGTTGTCTAATTCTCGAACGAAAAATCATTGTTCACCATTTTAATTGTTCATCGATCGACGGCACGTTGCACAGGAAACAGGTCGGTGTGTTCACCTGGTGGTCCATTGACTCATGAAACGTTTCACGAGGATATCGCTCTTGTGTGCCATCATCGACATTTGAACGCGTGACGGGCGTCGAAAGTGGCTTTGGCAAAGCTCTGTCTCGAATAGAAACTGGTTTTAAAATAGCTCCGTTGCGTGGAGCTCGTAGAACAAGAAAATAAAGAAAAGAGGAAGAGCCAAGTTCAGTATTCGCACCCGTCTTCGACCTGGCCTTACAGCCCGGTTGAATACGATGAATATACGTGTTTGTCGCGTCGACACGCTCGTATTAAATCGTAGTATACGTTGTTGAATAGATTACTAACGATCGATGTTTCTGTTGTCCAAGGTGTCACGATACAGGGTGGACCCATGATCAGAACCATGGACGTCGGACCTATGTCGACGGCCTCTGCAAAACGAAGGAAGAAAAAAAACAGAAGGAAGCAGAGAAGATTTGCTACGGTAATTATTAATTTAGTGTGGGTGGATTACGTAAGTTTCAGTTGATTGGAAATATAATAGTGTTAAAAAATTAGGTTAGGGTTTGAGTCTGAAGAATCTAAGACGCCCAATTTTTCATACGTTGAATTTTTATATAATATTTTTTAATTCAGAAGAAAATAGAGGTGGTCATGTAGTCTGATGGTAGAAATTTCGTAATTTGATATTTAGTAATGAAGTTTAATAATTTGGAAAGTTGTACTTCTAAATTTTTAATTGACAATCCTACATTTTCAAAAGACCCAAATTAAAAATTTTCAGATTCTTAAATTTTTAACTTTGTACCTGTCCTTCATGTAATTCTGAAATAATTTGAAAAATCTGAAACGCAGGGTAACACGGAGGGTAATACGGACGAGGAGGAAGGAGAATACAGCTCCGAATGTGATACCGGTCTATCGTCTTCCCGTCTATCTTGGACAGCGTGTTCAACCTCGACCACGACCACGACAACGACCAGCAGCGCCGGCATTAATCGGCCATTGAATCCCGAATGCCAGGAGTTCAAGTTGCGACAAGTTGACGAACCCGATACCTCGTTATCAGCTATTCCAACGTCCACGCCGACTTCCGACGAGAACTCGACCAATCAATCTAGCACGTTGTCGTCCAACGCGAATATTGCCGACAACGAGAATAACGAGGTATGTAACGGTGTCGTCTGCGACGATAACCAGAAGGACGACAAGCTAGCCGTGAACTTCGATGAAGCTGCGTCGTCGTCGTCGTCGTTGGAGAAGAGTCAATCGACGTCTCCTGATGCGACCAACCCGACTAACGAAGCGAATAGACTGACGAACCACCTCTTCGAGGAGGAAGAGGCAACGTGTTCAACGAACAAGGTTGGCCCAGAGGCGACCTTGGAGGTGGAGAAACTGCCAAACACTAATGATAACGAAGCAGCGAACGACGCATCGAGCGACAACGATGAACGACCGAGTAACGAGATGAACGGTGTCGAGGAACAGACCCTGGTGAATGGGAAGATAGACTCCGATTCGAACAACGAAGATACACCGAGTATGGCAACGGTACCGAAGCCGTCGTCGCCTTGTAATGATGAACGGGTACGCTCTAGGTCCATCACACCCAAGACAGCTCCGCTGGAGAACGGAGGAATCCATGAAGAGAACCGTGCATCCTTATCGAGCAGCAAATCCTTAACTACCAGCTTGCCAAAGCGAAAGTACAACGCGAAGGGTACAAAATTCGTTAGAGAGCCAACGCCTGGTCCAGATCTGGACAGTACAGAGCCAGAGACTGACACGAAGCTCGTGGTTAATGATCTGAACCAGAGTTTAGAGAATTTGGAGAATTTGTCGAAACCAGACTCCATGTTCGAGCGTTGCAATGACAAGTTAGAGGATGATCAAGCGTCGAAGGAGCTTGCCATGGAGAAGGTGTGCAATCACCTGAGCAAAGAGGATCCGATAGAAGCATCGAATGAGGACTCCGGCTTCGAAAGTCAGACCCGGTTGTCCGATTATCCAATTACGGATGCAGTGACGGAATGGCTTCGCAGAGCAAACTCGCCGGACATTTTCATCACGTCGAACGTATCGGGAGATAGCGAAACGGAGGACGAGGACGACGTTGACGAAGAGCCGCCAAAAAACTTGCAAGGCAACCCCATGCCTGCACTATCTGCTAATGGTGGCGTCGCGGACAATGCATCATTGTCGCGCACCACCAGCTGCAGTGAATTCGCAAGGATCAGCAACGTGAAAAGTCAGGAACAGCCGGAGGCGACCAACGCCGGTAGCTCAAGGAAGAAGAGGGACGCGAAGAAAAGGTCCGGGGAACGACGGCGGGTCAGACACATGGACGGCAGGTTGAACCACGAGGTGGTGTCATCGTCGGATTCGTGTGGACACCTGGATGACCCGGTAAGACGGAAGAACAATCCGAGACAGCAGGATACAGTTGGCGATGTTTGCGAATTTACTGACAAAGATAGCGTTGCGGGCATGAGGGTTGCTTCAAACTCTCGGATGGACTCGAAGAGGGTCAACGTAAGGCGAACGAAAAGACAAGGGAGATCCGGTCGGGATCTCACGAGCACTATCGACACGAAGACTCGTCGCGCGGACGAGAACGACGACGAAGGAATCGTCGAGGATACGATGAACGTGAGGACCTTTGAGAAAGGAGAGATCGTCGTCTCGGAGGAGGGCAAGTTGTTGACGACCTCCGCATATGAGCCCACCTTGCTTAACGGTAACGATGCGTGTAAGAGCGAAACGAGAAATGTGGAGGAACGGAAGAGGTTGAGCAGCGGCGAAGAAGAGAATTGTAGCGGGATAATGTCCTTAGACAGCATAGAGGAGCCTGATGTGTTAGAATGTTGGGAGACGGAGACGATTGAACCTGTGATAACCCCGAAAAAGATGTTGCAATGCGAGGGGGTACTGTGCGAGGGCGAAGCTGCGGAGGACGACAGCATCGAAGTGGAGCAGGTCAACATCGACTACGTGCAGAAATATTATAGATTAGCACGGGAGAGTGTCGCTAGCGTGGAGGAGGAAACTGATGGCTGTAAGGTGAACGTAGATTTATCAGCATCCTCGAAAACAGTGCCAAATATGTCTGAGCAGATGGTCGAAATTCCAACGCAAAATGGGAATCTCGTCGACGGAAACAAGAACGTACCCATCGACGAGGCTTTCGAGGTATATGAAAGCTGTTACACCGGAAAAACTCCGATCTTGCCGATGGATTCGAAAGTTTTCAAGCCGCGAACACTGTACGGTCAAGATGGCGAACATCCTATACCATGCAGAGCTGTCTGTTGTAACATTCAATGATTTATGGCCGTTATCGGGAGTCTCGCTATGCGTACTTCTCCACAGGGACTGTTTCCGAAACACAGTACTGATGTCAAGGCCGTCCTTTTCCTAAATACCATAAGCCTCTGACGTTGTACTCTACCTTGCTGATGATTGATCTGCTGATGGACGTACATTAACCATTCGTTATCGTCACGTTCTTTATTGCATTACACGAGAATATTCAATGGACGAGAGAGAACCCTGTGGATGATCGATGTATGGATGCAAGCTGTTGAAACTTAGGGGCATGCTCAAAGGGCAGCGAATAATATAGCAAAAGCCTACGTATTGCTATTCATTTTTGTAAATAGCTTTAAGAGGTCGCTCGCAAATCGTGTTTCATGGAAACTTCGTTGAAAATTTACATATGCATTCAAGCATATATATATACATATATGCGGATATTTTTGACATTATCGTCAATGTTACTTGGTGCACATATTCTTTCATTCAACTTCTTTTTCTTGGTTTTCCAAATACAGTGATGGGCTACACATTTACCCTCAAAGCAGAAGAACTGCTTTATAGGCTTTAATTAATAATTATTTTCACAATTTATATATTAAAAATATCCTAATTCTAAACTTCTATATTCCCAAACTTTTGAATTTCTAAATTTGTAAATTTGAGAATTTGTGATCTTGAAAATTTCTAAATTCTCAAATTTGAGAATTTATACTTCTGAAAACAAATTTTGCAAATTTTTAAAAATAAATATCTCTGTTTGAAAAGTTGAAATTTGTAATTTGAGAATTTGTAATATTGAAAGATTATGAATTTGAAAATTTGTACATTTTTGAAGTAATGAATTTGAGCGCCTGTGATTCTGAAAATATCTAATCCTGCAAATTTGAAAGTTAAAAGATATTTTAAATTAATGTTGTGTTCATTTAATAATTAAAATACATTGGCCCATGCGCTTGGATAATTCGTCGGGCACATGATATGCCCATCACTGTCGTAAACTGTAAAAGATGAAAGTTTCATCTGAGTGTATTTTTTAAAATGAATCGAGCTTATCAAGATTCATGAAATCAGTTTTTTGAATTCTTCTTATTGTACGTATTATATAAACATTAGATTGACAATTAAACTCGCGACCTTTTCGCCTCAAAATTACTGTAATCAAATTCCATCAGAAAAATTTAAAAATAACAGATCAGAGATTAAAGATTATTAATCCACATATTCTTTACAATCGCTAAAAATTTTGGTTAACAATTCTGTGAAAAAGAGGGTCACGAATTTATTTGTCAATGTAATAAATGGATCATAAAGTCTGAACTCTGCGAGACTCAGAGTACAAACAAAAGAGAAAAACACTTGAAGCATACACTGTCGTTTCCGTTGTTCTCGCACTAATATTTTATAAGTACTGAACACGAATTAACATCAAGTTGACTAAGACATATTTTTTACAAAACTTATCTAGAACGTAAATTTTAAAGTACGAAAACGAAAAAAAAAGAAGAATACTAGCGTCGTTCATCACGTACCACGTTAGATGGCCTTTCATTTTAGGGGACTTTCGATTGCTTTTACGCAAAATAAAACGTAAATGTTGCAAACCATAACGTGCACTCGTCGTTTTAAAATTTGTAAACGGAGAGAAACAGTTGAAGATTCAATAACCGAGCTACATTTTAGAGATGAGATAATACGTTTGGCTAGAATGCAGAAGAGTAGTTTGTTGAAGATGAAAACAGATTGGTAAGAAAGTGAACTATATAACTTGTAGCTGTTATGAGCTAACCTAAGATGTACATAGAAGAAAGTTACAAAAAGAAAAAGAAAAAAGTTGCTATGGGTTTTATTGAAATGAGCAGAAGAGGAGCATTGTTGTTTTGTAATAGATGTTTGAACTCGAAATAGGAGGACACATTTCACTCATACATATTAATGTGTACAACGTATTGAAGTTGCACTTGTTACAACATAGTTCACGCTTTAGTTCAGTTGTGTCAAGTAGATGGAATACCTAAGGTTGCATATAAGTTGATTGATAGATGTGGTTCATGAAAAAGTCATACATATAAATATATATATGTACCCCATATCATAAGATGCGAAACATACCTCAATGATACCTGTATATATATAATAAAAACTACCAATCATCAGTAACATCAATTATAATAATGATAATATTAATATTAATGATAATAATAATGTTAATAATAATAATAATAAAACTATTATCACAACAGCGATATAGGCACAATCGTTCCTCCGAAGCTTTAGATTCCCTAGGCATCATTTGACATAATACAATATACAAGGATGATATCCATATACGAAATAGAAATTCATTGACATCCAATTACATACATTAAAGATAAATATATTGCCATATTAAATACGTGTTGCATCAATTGTGTGCCTTATTCTGCGGCTGACATTTTTGTAACCATTTCAAAGCATTCTTCTCTCGATAAAAATGGAATGAAGTAAATGAGCTATCGGGTGATTCGCCAATAATTGACATTTGTTAAATTAAAAAAAGAGAACGACGACGACAATGTGGGAGCGATTGAGTTTTCATGAAGATGATGGTTTTATCAGGGCATGCATACCAAGACAAAAATACATTGATCTTTTTTTTCATACGTCAACTAACATGTTCATTAAGTGTTTACAAAACTGATGTGCATACATTCATACGCATATAAGCATTAACATTGCATCTTACACGAGTCATGTTATCATATAATTATATTTTAGTTGAATTAAAGTAAATGTGTAAGGAATAAGTGTATTTGAATTTTGTTGTGTTTTTGCTTAAAAAATATGAATAAAATGTTTCAATTAATTTCATGTGTTTCTAATTTGCCACCAGGTTATAGTTTAATCAAGAATTATGAAACTTCAGGATGTAAATAACATGAAAAATTTACGATATTTTGTATGACAGTTGATATTATAATAATAATAATTGGCTATAAGTTTCATTAATAATTGTATAATAATAATTAAAATAATTTTAATAATAATTATTAAAATAATTATTATTACCTTATTAAATATTCGTTGATAAATGTATTTTCTCCTATACATGTTTTTTTATCGATGTTCAATTTTTATCTCAAAAGTGTTATAATATTTGAATTAAAAACATTGTATGAAATATAAACCATCAATATGGAAATTTCATAAAAAACAATAAAAATACACTCCTAATGTATGGGTGTGTCTTTTTACAGATTTAAAAATAAAAATTTTAAATTTCAAAAGTTTTCCAGCAAAACTCACGCGCATGCGCTGTAGATTAACCGCCTAAAGGTTGATTAGCAGCAGCGCCACCAAGTTCACTGTTATATATCGAATACAAGATGGCCGTCAGACAGTGGTGCCATTGTTCGCCCACAAAAGGAAGTTTATTTAATTATTATCAGATGAGGACAGAGGTGCAAGAACCACTACAAAGAATTGGAAACTAAAGAAAGAAGAAACTAAGGTATACGTCGGTAATTAAATCAAGAAAGACACATTCATTTTTCATCATGTATGTCATTCTTACTTTATAGGGAGATTTCTATAGAAGTTTAACAAATTCAGTCTTAAATCTTACTAATTTTAAAATTGAGAAATTTAAATGTTTTAGAACTGCAAATATTTAAATTTAAAAGTCCTATACTTTCAATTTCGATTATATTAAACACTACCTAATTAAAATTAAACATTCGTTTATGTAAAACCTGTTTTAAAATCGATAAAAGTATTTGTACGTTCCAAATGATAAATGTAAAAAAATGTACACATAAGTCTTTCACAAACAATTATTTAGTAAACAAATTTTCAATTTCAAAAGTTTCGCTCCAAAGCTCGTGCGCATGCGCGGATTGTGAGCCGCCCAAAAGTCGATCGACAGCGGCGCCGCCAGTTCACTTCGATATGTCGAACTCAAGATGGCCGCCGAACATAGAGTGGTGCCACCGTTCGCCCGTAAAATGAAGTTCAACCATTTAACCAGACGAGGACAGAGCTGGAGGAACCGCTAAAAAGAATGAAGGCTAGAGAAAGAGGGGAACAAGGCAGTTACCATTAAAACGACAAAGAGGGAAATATCGAGCTCGCGTCGTGGCTACGAGACAGTGTTACATAGATGGACACGCGCAGGTCACACGACGAAAAGTGAGGAGTGTGTGCGTTCGCAGCGAGTATCTCGCTCTCTCGTACCGTGACGGTAACGGAGGTGGTGCGAGAGTGAAAGACGAAGAAGCGAGCGAGCGAGTGAGGGCGAGCGCGAGTCGGGCCAGCGAGCGTGGAACGGTGTAGAACGAGCGACCGAGCGTGTGGTGGTGGTGGTGACGACTGGTGCCGTGGACGGACGGTCGGTCGGCGGTCGGGCCGTGGTGTGTGAAGAAGTGAAAAATTCGCAAGTGGTGTGCTGGGTTGGTGAGCTGGCTGGTTAGTGGTGATATATCGGCTCGCGCCACGGACAGTGTCGGGGATTTTTGCTCATCTT